GTCGTTGGTCATCCTTTCAACCCTCCGCACCTCATCCCCCTTGTGGAGGTAGTCGCCGGTGGGCAGACATCATCTGAAACTATCAGCACCACCATGGAGTTTTACGAAAAGATGGGGAAAAGGGCAGTGCACGTTAAAAAGGAAGTTGTCGGTCATGTCGCCAATCGTCTACAGGCAGCCTTGATGAGAGAGGTCATGTACCTACTGCAGGAGGACGTTGCCGGGGTCGAGGCCATTGACAAAGCAATGAGTTATGGCCCCGGTCTTCGATGGGGCGTCATGGGTCCGAACATGTTAATGCACTTGGGAGGCGGTGAAGGTGGAATCGAGTACATGGCGGATCATTTGCTGGGTCCCCTGATGTCCTGGTACGCACCTGAAGATCCTCAAGTCACGGAAGAATTGAGGCAGAAATGGGTCTCAGGAACGAGGCAGGCCGTGGATGACAGGGCTTACAGACAGCTCGCGAAGCAGCGAGATGAGGAGTTAGTACGACTTCTGAACGTAAGGAATGAGTGGGATAGCTATGCAGAAACAAGCAAGAACCCGGTCGCAGAGTAGTATGGAGGGTTGAATCACTGCATGCGAGCTTTTCGTAACTTTCCATCCAAACCTTGTCCTTAGATATCCTCAGCATAGACTTGATAGTACAAATGATCCGTCATCTCGGCTCTACTGAGCCAGAGCATGCAGCTTGAGTAAATGCCTAAATGGGTGAATGAACAATAGTACAGTTCCCGAGTGCCAAAAGCCCAGGCTACTCGCGCAATTTTCCAGCCGCAATGGAACCCGAGTATTTGGTATGCCACGTTCTTTGCTCGACGATCTATTCTTCGTTAGTAGCAGTGATCTGCCGATTCTACCAAACGTAAATGGCCTCTCTACCAGGGTGCCATGTGCGCGGAACAGGGGGTGGGTACTAGATTAGCGAGAGGGGAGGCTCCCTGATCAGTGCGGAATCAATCCCGTTCAGAAGAGGTCGGGTCCGTGTTGCATGACAACAGTGTGGACACAATAACGCTGTGCGCGTGTCACGAAGACCGAAGTGCGAATACCGACTTTATCGGGAATCCAGGAGTGGCCGGGAGCGAATCGACGCGCAAAGCAGGGCAATGACGATACAACGAAAACGCAAACTTTTCCACTTCATGTAATAATTCGAAGGCTTTCATGCAAACGAATACGCCCCCACTCAGGAAGTGCCAAGTCATAAAACAAGTTCTTGGTCATATATCTGATTCTGAAAAGATGATCGACCCAAGTTTCTCGATCAACTGACTATCTTAACTTTGTCCATTGCCATCCCACACCTTAATTGTAACCCTCGTTGGGCAGGCGACATGGGCTCTCAAATCCAACAACGCCTGTACATCCTCGACACCGACCTATCTCACCCTCCCCAAAGTCGCCGTGGGCGCATCTTATCATGTCTAACAGACGGAAGCGACCTTCAAACAGTAGTCGACAACATGGCAACTCTACCCGACGGCATTGTGATTGATCATGCCAAAGGTCATATGTACTGGACCAACATGGGATCTAGCTTGAAGTCCAACGACGGCTCAATCGAGCGCGCCAACTTGGATGGTTCAAACCAACAAATCATTGTGTCAGCAGGTACCGTTGGCGTCTTCACGCCGAAGCAAATCACTATCGCCAAGCAGAGTATGAAGCTGTACTGGTGCGACCGGGAGGGTATGAAGGTCATGCGGTCCAATTTCGATGGGTCTGATGTCGAGGTCCTCGTCTCAACCGGCAACACCGATGAAGAGAGGGTGGATCAAAGAAGGTGGTGCGTTGGCATTGCTGTAGATGAACAGCAAAACGTCTTCTATTGGACACAGAAAGGACCATCCAAGGGCAACCAAGGGCGGATTTTCCGCGCACCTATACATGCCTCTTTCGAAGACCGACTCCATCAAATCGAGATGGTGATCGGCGAGCTTCCCGAGCCAATTGATCTCGACATCGACGGGGAAAGTGGCACGCTATATTGGACAGATCGAGGAGATCCTCCTGCTGGAAATTCACTTAACCGAGCCATGATGCCTGATGGCGAGAAACAGGAAACTCTGGCAATACGATTACACGAAACCATTGGTCTATCGTTGGACCAGCGGGAGGGGCTAGCCTACGTGACAGACCTTGCCGGCGGCGTCTACTCTGTTGATACGAAAACGTACAAGAAGACTGTATTATTTTCCGAGTTGGGTGACATTACGGGGATCGCAGTTGTATAGTCCCGCCAGGGCAGCGAATTTTAAAAAAGCAAATGGAACAACAAGGACAGATAATCTAGCATAGGTTCAAATTCCATCAATATTACGACTTTCGGAAGGCACTGGTGACCCAGAATTATCTGTGCCACTGTGATGAAGAGTATGACTAGGACGAGTTAATTCGTAGTTCAATCCTTCAAGGACGACCAGACGTGGACGACCTCACACGCCTGGACGCCAAACCATCAAAGCCCAATCAGTGGTCGAGCAACCGCTAGAAACTCTTCAATATTCTGCAGGAAGATTCTGGGCTGCTCTAATGCCGCAAAATGTCCCCCCTGTGTAAGTCCAAACGTTAGATGTACAACATGAACACAAAAGTTATTGATGGAATCGGGCATACCTTGTCATTGCGCTTGTAAAACACAAGATTTGGATAGGCCTTCTCAGCCCACGCTTTCGGCAAGAGAATGTTCTCTGCTGGAAAAACCGAATAGCCAAATGGCTTTTCTTTAGACGTTGCAACAGAAAAGAGGACATTTGCTGCTGCTGCGCTCGCGAGAGCACGATAGGGATACAAGCTTCTTGGGAAAGTGTCTGTGTACCAGTAAAAGCTTACCATAGTGAGAATTGTGTCAACAGAAAGTGGATAACGGGAATCAGGCCACTCGAGGAACTTCTCGCCAATCCTAGATAATGTTAGGCAACGACAGTATCTTTCAAGTCAAGCCGTGATATGGAGCTTACCAGGCCAACATGGCAAGTGGGCTTGATGATAGGACGAGGCCGATCGTCGAGGGTCTTAGACCATGTTCCAGAAGATACGACGACCCGGTAGCGCTGAAGTTCAGCATTCGCTGTACGTGCTGTGCCTCATCTTCGGTGATGTTGACCGTCGTAAGAAGCTCGTCTTGGGATGATGGAGCAAGCATATTGACTGCCTCAGTATTAGTACAAATCTGAACACCCACTGAACGTATGGAGCCAATATTGCTTACTGTGGAAGGCTTTGCACTGTGGGTGATTCGCTGACAGAATTCTAGCGAGGAAGCTGCCGATGTCGCCGCCCTGGGCAACATAGCCTGAGTCAAAGCCAAGAGTGATCATAAGCTCATTCATCAGCCTCGCCGCTGTTTCAAGCGTGAGTTCAATATCGATTGGCCCACCGGAAAGTCCATAGTTAGGCAGAGAGGGAACAATGACATGGTAAGGAAGAGTTTCTGGAGTATATTTGCTTTTCAAAATGTCGAGCAACGGAAGAAACTCGAGAAAAGATCCGGGCCACCCGTGCAGAAAGAGTAGCGGTAAGGCATCGCTTCTCTTGGAGTAGAGGCCAACGAAATGGATGTTTGTCGGTCCAGCATCGACGTCATTAATGGTGACGTTGAAGTTGGGGAAGCTGTTAATGCGGTCTTCTTGCTTTCGCCAGTCAAGCTCAAGCCACGCGTCTTTTGCTTCAGCGAGCCAGTTCCTGGTAGTGCCAAAGTCCTTATTGTTGTGTTTGTTGTACCAGGTTTCGGAACCGATCTTTGAAGCAGAGAGGAGCGATGCGAAATCTTCGATCCTGGAGTCAGGAATGTGAAGATTGAACTCCTCTGAGGGAGCCATTGTGACTCTCGGTGTCGTCTCGAGGGCCACGGTATACTGAAAAAAAGTCAAGAAGGTGGGCAGTAGTGGCCACATGTTCTGCGATTGTATTTGATATTAAGTTGACAGAAAGACTGCGAGTGCAGGGAAAGAAAATCGAAATTCATTCATCCGTTTAACGCACAACCTTATATCGGTAGTAAAATCATACAGTCGGAACTAATCACAATCCATGCTGATCTTTCGAAAACTATTACCGAATGGCGAACAACAACAACTTGGCCACCGAGGGAAGACGACCATGATACTAAGAACCCCCACTCAGGCCCATAGCAATTAGGCTCGGAGCAATTTCAATGCCGTGTTCGACTCAGGCGCTATGGTATGGGAAAAAGAATCCTTGTACTGGAAGACTTTGGCGAAGGCGAGCGTGGGTTGATCATTAATCACGCCTGGTTACATTCGACCGTTGGACGCGGGGCCCGAGGCGGAGGACTGTCAAGATGAAAGAAATATGTTAGTCGTGTGCATATCTTATCCAGAGGGAAATTCAAGCCATTCAGCTCTGACTTTACGCTCCCGCAAATGAAATTCAAATTAGGAAGCTATGATGCGACCTATGGGATTGTGCCAACTAAAACGATTTGCCTATGCTCCCCATTGTCAATGGCGTTTCCTAGGATACCAGATTCCCATTACATCATCCATACAATATCAACCTGACCAGATTTAGTCCCGGACTTATTAGGTCCCTGATTACTACGGTAATGCAAATGGTCCCAGCCCCCTCGCGATACGAGAGCAAACGAAGATGAAGAACCACACATGAGCAACATGTCCTTGTCTGAAAATATGGGTTCTGCGATGGCGACCTGGGACAATGTCTCCGGCACCCTACCTTGCTACCTTCATAATTACATGTACTTGAGATGAATTGATCAAGTAGACGAGCCTTTTAGCTAGTCACACGGTTCCAATGAACCAACAGCTCATACTCGATTCAGGTATCTACCCTACTGTATCTCGATGAAACGTTCACTTCATTCAGGGAGGTGCGTCGATCCTTGGAACTCCATTTGAAATTGGGCCATTCTCAGTGATGAGTGTGAAGCACTGATAAATTTTGAGCTACGTTGAGGGAAAAGATAGTTGGAGATGCGGCTTTGATAACATTGCGACGCCATTTCCGAGACACTACCGACCTTCCCATGAGTTCTGAAGCATTTCCTTCACTCCAGTAACCTTTAGTTGTGGGAATACCTGATTCAGGGCCCTATCCTTTGGGAAATCGAAGAGACCTTCAGTGACCCAGAAACCAAAGGTGGAGAATAGCTGTTGAGCCCACTGTTTCGGGAAGTACGAGTATGCAGCAACCTGGCCTGGCAGCTCCGTGATCTCGCCAGATTGGAGCTTCTGAACGCTATCGTATGTGACATGGAACTTCTTCCCTATCAACAATAAAAGTCTTAGTAAGTCGATCAGCATGTACTTTAGGGAACTAGATTTTACCTCCACGAGCCTCTTCGGCAATCGCAATGAATTCTTCCCAGGTCATTTCGTCGCCAATGAGATATGTGTCGTGCTCCCATGTGGCTAGGACGAGAGCTTCCACGACGAATTTGGCGACGTCTTTGGTATAGGTGAATGTCATTTTTTGTTTTCCATCTCCAGGTATGGATGCTTGCCTGTTGGCCATGTCAACAACAAAGGTTGTTTGCGGAATGTATGTCTCGACATGGGGCATTGCGTAATAGTCGAGGAACCACCCGCAATTGAATGCTGTCCATTCAAGTCGTGAGTTTTCCAGCTCGCTGTAAGAAGCAATGTGCTGGAACCCGTGTGGCAAAAGATTCAAATACCTACAAAAACTCTGGTTCAGTAGGTTCATACTTTTCAAACAAGCACGCAGCGACTAGAATTCACTCACTGACTCGACGGTCTAACTGCCCAGCTACTACTAATGAAACGCTGCGTAAAATTGCTCTTGTCCGCTGCTTGAATGAGGTTGATTTGAGCCTGGCCAACCCCAATGATGTGGAGGGCTAGAGCTGATATCACGGTGTGGATCTCGTGGGTTTCCAAGGTCGTCTGCAGGGACGTTCTGTCGTCGTAATCAACTGCCACAACAGGGACTCCAGCTTTATCTTCTGCCGCTTCCTGTTTACGATTGACTATTGTAAGCACAAACGAATTTATGAAAGGGAAAAGCCTTCTTGGAAGCACGATCATGGCGTACCGTACGAGAGAGGATGATGGTGGAGTGTCTCGGATCATTTTTGAGTGCATCCACAATGCTACGCCCAACGCCGCCAGTTCCTCCGGCAATGGCGATGTTCACCATCTGAGATTCGTCGTGTCAGATGACACGTGATGTAGAGAAAGAATGAAAGTCCAGTCGTGGAAGCCCAAAAGAAAACTTGAATTTGGCGGGTTGGTTTGCCGTCGGGCTGGACTTCTGACCCAGTATTTTTAGGACGCTTAAAATTCAATTTAATAGGTGTAGTTTTCGGTCGAACTTCGTCCGTATGATTCCCCCACAAGAGTGTAGATGGAGCTGAAACTTGACATCCCCCGCCCGCACACCTCAGCCGCATGACGATTAACAAAGCAGGTGGCAGAACTGGGCGTTGCAGGACGGATTGATAATTAGACCGTCGGTAAGATTGAAATCAGCTACCCATGTGATCGTTCTAACTGACTGGCCACTTTCACGACGCAACACCTCCTGGGAAAGATTTTGCAAGGGCTGTTGTATGAAATAATAGGCCAAGACAGTCTATGGACAGTATCTAACCATATCCGTAACTATCTTAGAATGAATCGAAGTTCAGACCGTCGTATGGTGGCTCAATCGACGCTATGAGCTTAATCACCAACGGTCGCGCTTGTTGCATCAAGATCACCGCAATGATCCTTCTTAAGTGGTTTACGTTGACGTAAATCTACCTCAGGCTGCGAGTACACCAACGCCGAACTGCCCCAGTTCGATGGTAAAAACACCGTGAGGGTCTGCAGAAACTTCCAGCACAGCTGGCGCGGAAACGAGCGTGGGGTTTTCGACTGAGTTAGCATTATCAGGGCTGGCAGTGATTGAGGTAAATGATCCTTTAACGTCTGCCTTTCCAGGGATTTGTATGCGAATCTCGGTCGAGTTGGAAGCATAGTTGGCGAGTTTTACGATTACTTGGCCCTCTCCTTTCATGCTTGCTGCCCACCAGACTAGTGAAACAAGAATTTCGCGGTCAGTTCCTATCAAAGGCTTGAGAGTTGTGAGCGAACTGAACTCACCAGGGTTGAGCTCTGCATCAGCTGTAACGGGGATAACAACATCGCCATGATTATTAGCAAACATCCTTTTGACGTGATAAGATGGAGTATAAACGATGCCATCGGGTTTGTTAGTAAAGGGAATGAGGTTGGGCTAACCCAAGACAAGTCAGCATAACATGTATATACTGTGAGAGAATCGGTATCTTACCGTCCATTGGCCGTTGACAGGGTCGTAATTCTGTAGTGTAGGTGCGTAGGCAGCTAGTTTGATCACATCTGCGTTACGCTCCCAACCCATCATATAGACTGCTTCGGAGCAGGCACCTCGCATATCGGACCATTTGACGCCCCACCTGGCATATTCACCGATAAACACAGGATGAGCGCGATCCCAGTCGTCATAAAAGTCATATGCGTTGATGTAATTCTCCGGCACATTGTAGTCGTGGAAGTCAAGCCATGCGCCTTCGGGAATTGGGTCCGGCAGACAGGCTCGGTCAGACGTGGAGGTAAGGACAGTTATCTGCGGATATGCCTCTTTGATGGCATCGAAAAATTGCACAAAGCGCTGCTTGTAAGACTCACAGCCGCCGGCGAGGTTATCTTCGTTCCCAACCTCGACGAAGTTGAGCTGGTACGGCTCTGGGTGTCCGAGAGACGCGCGAAGTGCCCCGCCAGACGTGTCGATGTCACCAATGACGAACTAAGACGTTGTTCAGCACGACTACCTGATGCGTAGTAACGTAGGTAGACAACATACCTCAATCTCACGGATTGCGTCCTCAACATACGGCTCAAGCTCATCTCCTACTAATGGTGGGAGTCCCGCAAGTCCGAGACCAGCCCATACGTCTAGGATAGGCTCCAAGGACATATCCTCACACCACTGGAAGTATTCCATGAGGCCAAGGCCGTCAGTGTTAACATATCCCCAAGTTCCTATACAAGTGTCAAAAACATCAGTCGATTGCCTCACATCGCAGTAACATCAAGGTGCAACGAGGCCCTACCCCAACGTCCTGGTCGAGATTCAAGAGAACCTATTGTTTCATTCCATTTCCAGCGGTCATGTGGGCCGCCTCCCTCACTGCATAATGAGTAGTCAGTGATTGGATTTTGGACTTGCAGTTGATAAGGATACCAAGGCAACTCACAGGTTGTTACCCCCAGGAAATCTCAGAAATTGGGGTTTGAGATTTACGATGGCTTCGGACAGATCGACTGTCAAGCCGTTTTCTCTACCTTTGAAAGTAGGAGGAAACAAGGTCGGGTAACCAAGATTGATACTTCCGCTAGTCAGAGTCTCGGCCAAGATCTCGAAAACCCAGAGATTGTTCCCATCGGCGGCGGCTGTCGTCCAGAATCCGGCTTCATATCGCGTCCATGAATCGGCCTTGGAGTCGACGGTAATGATAGCCCAGCCATGTTCGACATCAGTCTCATTGCTTAGAAGGCGGATCTTGACATCGCCCTGAAAATCACCACGAAGCCAGAAAGTGGTATTGTAGTACCCGCCGTTCACGATGATGCCTCTGTAGCCAGGGTTCGCAACGCCAGTAAATCCACCAGCGCCGGTGGGGATTGTAATCTTGAGGGATGAAGTGATGGCGTTGGTCAGTGGTGTTTGGGTATCATGGGAAATTTCCGCCGCGCCATAATGAACTGTCCAGGGGTCGACGGTAGTCACACCGCCTTGAAATGCGTTATTTCTTAGTTGCTGTGAATAGAGGCCTATCACCGTATTTCATGTTTCAGCCAATTGTTATCTTTGATGGGCCAGGGTTCAACTGTACCTCCGTCGCCGCTGTTGCTGATGTCCTCAAACATAAGACCGTGGAGCAAAGGGCTTAACTCATGGCCAGGACTTCCGGTATCAACCTGAAGCAGGAGTGCCCCTGCCACAGTAGCTATAGCTACGAGGCTAAAGAATTGAGAACAGCGCATGGCTTGGCTTGAAGTCAAAAACTTGAGAGATGAAGGTTGTTACCGGGCTCAACTCAATCATAAAGCAGCTAGCATTCTGACTATATATCACCGATCAATATTGTCAACCATGACTCGAAATACTTACATGTATTGGATACGCTCCAATGGCGCTCAGTCGACTGGTACATAATCTGACAACTGACAACTTACGAGTTCCGATTACTAGGAAGAAGAAGGCAACAGGGTTGAAAGAGAAATGAGAGGCATCATTGTTGCTCATCGCCATCATGATTGGTGGCGAAATAGAATACTTCGCCTCGAGATCTTTCCGTAGATGAATCTATGTTCCTAGAAAAGTCGCGGAAGTCTGGATGCAAGACGAATTAGTGGGATTGCCAAGACCGAAGAGCTCATTCCGCATATGACAAACGACTACCCAGGTGGCCATAATGCCAAGGAGGCATTGTGAGGACGTGTAAAGTTAGCGGAAAGTCGTGCTCGCTTCTAGCCGCAAGCGCTGATATACGCTCCTCTCCGAAGATTGCGGGTAGCTTTAACGGCAAATTGTGGAGTAATCACGAGCATCCCTTAAGTGGCATGTGGAGATGTCCTTACTTTGGATGAACGCATACAGGGTGTTCGGCAGCAAATATAGAGAAGTTACAACACAACCGAAAGCAGTTTACTTTAATACTCACATGTGTAGCATTAGGTTTTGTAGAAGTGTAGAACTGTCACGATCTTCATTTCTCCGCGTCTTGTTCCTTGGGCCCGCGTGTCTCATGACTTGGCTGGGGGCCTAATCCCGTGGGAGCCGACAGAGCCGCTCCAATAATGACCTTGCGTTTGACTTTCGCAATGTAAATACTCCCGGGTGAACAACAATCGTTAACTTTATGTGGAGAAATGTTCGGAGCCCTGGATGGGCAACGACTACTATGAATGTGTCGAGGTTGCTGGAAGCCATGCGGATCCTAGCAGTTGCTCCTGGATTAATGGCCCAGAGTAGTGACAAAATCGAAGCCATTATTGTCAATGATTTCCATCCCGGCCTATTCTAATTACGGCCTTATAAAAGGTAATTTCTCCGACATCAGCCTCCTTCAAAAGAAAACTCGAGATTTATTGCTAAGTAGGTATTAAGCGTTTGTGGTCTTCGAGGATGTCTCTTCGTGGTCGCAAAGGCATTGGTTGCGCGGACGTTTGAGCAATGTAGCTGACCGCTCGTGCGAAGAGGAGCTATTAGAACAAAAGACCATTATAATTACATGTTTAGACGTTAAGTTAGAGAGCCCAGCAAGTTTGTTAGAAGCAGAGAGTGTGCGGAGACCGAGTCACAGGTGGATGTTGGTGTTTACACTACCAGGAAGTAGCATTCCTCTAAAGTAGAGTCTAGCCTCTCGCAGTAGATTATCAAGCTGATTAGATGCTAGAATTGACTTTCTTTCCGAATGAAAGATGCAAAGTCTCTCCTTGCCGGTATCCTCTTTGTGATTTTGACCGAGACTTACGTCCATATCTACTCAATCAGTAGCAACACCTGCCTTAATCCGCTCAATATGCTCTCACTCTCGATGGTAAGTGTAAGAGCGGCGTAGACCCGCTCATCGCGCGCAATGTTATACCAGGGAAAGGGTCTTCTGAACTAATCAAACTCTGATCGTAAAATTGGCCTAATTTGAACCAGTCACGCAGAAACCTAGCAAGTCCAGAGTCAATCGACATAAACATCTGAAGGCACGGCTGAAAACGTTAGGTATCACAGGGACAGCATTGTAGACTTCTCAATTGATCAGAGCTGTAGCTTGTACTCCTAGCAATTTCATCTTGACGAGCTATAAGAAGAAGACCATGACGATTATCGCGGATGGGTCCGCCTAAATTCGGAAAGCTACGGTGGCTGGCCGTACTTTCAATCTTTTATCGCTTGATACCTATTGTTTGCTCTAGGCCGCAACACCTATATGTCGTGACTTGATTCTCCTCTTAAATTATTTTGATGGCTTATTCGTATAAGCTCAGGCTAAAGCCCAATATCTTTCTTTCCATCTGCTCTAGCTTTTTATTGACAACTGCACGGGGTTAAGTCTTTACATGTAGTAACTATCCACCTAGAAGTGGTGATCTGTTTACACCTCCTTGTAC